AAAAAAAAAGAAGAACACGTGGCAATAAGATAAAAATAAAATAAAATGGAGTAGATAATGGTGAATGCGGAAATTCGGTTTTCTATTTGTCAAAAGTTTTGTTTAATTGTTATGTCTTGAAAATAGTTTTTAATTTCTATAGAAAAATTCAAAGATGCTGCCCCACAACCCACGTGTGGACCCACTCTCGTGAAACCAACACACATATACATACATGCATATATACACACACACACATATATATATATATAATATAAATAAATAGTTTCACGAGTAAAAAATTAATAGCATCATATGGGCATTTAATATACATTTTATATGTCTAAGATATATAGTACTTGCCTTCTAAATCTCACTTCAATATATTACATATTTTTAGAATTTCTCCTAACTTTAATTACCACAAATTAAGTTTAATTTTTTAAAATGATGATTACTAATCTATAATAACTTATAAAAAAAACCCACGGAAGCATAATCCGATCAGAACGCACACACGAGAGTAAATTTAAATAAAATTAATAATATTTTATAAAAAAATAAACTTATAAATTATTCAGTTAATTTAATTTATTTATATAATTAAAATTAAAAAAAAAAATCTATGTCGATAATTTGATAGGAGACGAGAGATTAAGAGTGTCAAAATAGTTGGTATTATATAAAAAATAATTTATATAGATACATACAATAAATAATATTTATTATTGCTATCCGTAGATGATTTATCTAATAAATGAGAGTAGACTCATGTAATAACTTCTTGAATACAACATGTTAATTGAAGTTTGATTTTTTAATAATATTGTAAAGAGGTTAAATGAATTATCCAATTAAAAAAAAAACGATATTTGTACTATTTTGACTTTTAAATAAATATATTTTAAAATTTAAACTCAAATTATTAATAACGTAGAATTTAAAATTTTGATCGACAAAATTATAAATTTTATTAATTGATAAGAGTGACTGATTTTGATATTAAAATATTATTGAATTAGTAGTATTTAAATAAAAAAAACGTTATGAATAATATTAGAATATATATTAATTTGATGGTTTCGCATGGTATGATATTAAATTTGTACATATTTAAATTGTGATTTATAATTATATGATGTATAATTTTAATAAAAATATTAATGATTTTGAATAATAAAGATTGTGATATCATAATTTTATATTAAAATAATATATAATTATTGTATCTTATATAAGAATTCAAATCATATATTAAATTAAAATTAAGTTTTTAGGATCAATAAGTTAGTGTGGGATGAAGTCTATTATGTATATATATATTCCTTTTAAATATATAAATCTTATTTGTGTTATATATATATATATATTTGTAAATTATGCTTAAATGACCCATTGATTGAAGATTTTTTTTTTTTTTTTTTTGAGAAAATAATAAAGAATGACGTAAAAAGAGCAACCAAACAAAAAATATGAACAAAAAGTAAACAGAAAGATCAAAATTGCAAATTTTATTTTAAAGAAGGAAAATTAAATTTCCAAATTCTTGAAAAAAAAAAATCAATTTTTTCTCTTAAAAGAACTTTTCAAAATAAACTTAAAAAGAAAAAGAAATAATAAAAAATAAATAAATAAAAAGCCTGTGGACTCCCAATTTGCAAACAGTATCTTTTCCAAGGTCAAGGTTATTGAGAAAGACGGATTGAGTGGTGAGTCTCATAAATATTTAATCTGGAAAATCTGATGCCTTAATTATTGCCATTTGGTATCCAGACAAATTTGTTCTTCTCTTTCCCCTTCTTATACTCAAATTCTGCTGCTCTTCAATCAATCGGATAATTTTCATCCTTCTGTTGATTTTCTCTCTACTCTTTGTTTTCGGTTTGTTTGGCTCTGTTTTTCTTTTCCTTTCCGGGAAAGTTGATTCCTTTTGTTTGCGGTTAAGAAATCGCTTCTGGGATTTTAGGCTGACGAAAAACCATTTCAGTTCTTTTTTTCCCAGAAAACATGGGTTTCTGTTGAAAAGGTAAAGTGGGGTTTCTTGTGCTCTGCTTCAAAACTTTCTCTCTGTTTTTTTTTTTTTTTTTCCTTTTTCTTTTCAGTAATTTCGTGAATGATTTAACTTGAAGGGTTCATAGATTGAGAGAGGTGTTTTCGTCAATGTTGATCAAAGCAGAGTTGGCTTGAGTTTTCTTAAAGGTTAAAACAAAAACCTCAGTATTTATTGTGTCTTTGAGTATTAAAAACTTCATTTTCTGTTTCTTTTGACTGTAAATTTTCCGAGAAAGTGTATTCTCGGAGGTGGGTTTTTTCAAAGTGCTGAAATTTGGGCAACAATGCGAAATATGGGTTATTTTTTTCTCTGTATAACACCCGAGTTTTTTCAGAAATAGAATTTCTTTTTTTTTTTTTTTACTTTTTATTTTCGTTTCCTTAAATTTAGGTGTCCAAACGTCAGAGTATAGAATTCTTGTGCAGATAGATTTTTTATCTCTCTGCCTCAAAAAAAGGCAATCAAATCCCGATTCTCTCTCTTTGTATTTTCTATTTCTCTCAATCTTCTTCTTCTTCTTCTTCTTCTTTCCTCCTCTGTTTCTCTCCTCTGTTTTCGTGTCTCCACTTTCCCTGTTTGGGTAGAGAGAAACAGAACCCAGAATTCTCTCTCTCTCTCTCTCTCTCTTCTCTCTCTTCTCTCTGTCTATCTCGTTCCGTCAATCATGATTCTTGACAAAGGGTCAACGCGATCGAACCTGGACTGCTTTCTCCATCGCACAACTCCACTAGTCCCCTCCCATCTCCTCCCCAAGGTTTGATCTTTTTTTTTTCTTTTTTCTGGGTCGAATTCTGTTTCTATCTTTTCCCTTTAATCTTCAATAATGGTGGAAAATTACATTGATTATATAAATTTCAGAACGAGATTAGGAACTTAAACCGTTTATGGCACCCATGGGAGAGAGAAAAGGTTGAATTTTTCACATTGAGTGATCTCTGGAATTGCTACGATGAATGGAGCGCTTATGGGGCTGGTGTCCCCGTTGTTCTAAACAACGCCGAGACCTTAGTTCAGTACTATGTCCCTTATCTTTCTGCAATCCAGATTTTCACCAGTAATTCTTCCATGAATGGCTTGAGGTAATCCTTTTTGTTTCTGCAGGAGAATATGATCTGTTGTTTGTTTTCTGGGTTTTGCTGCTGCTGCTGCTGCTGCTGGGTTTAGAAAATTACAAAACCCATCTGCAATTTGATTTGAATTGATCAAAGTTTTAAACTTTAGAATACAAAATTGATTGAGAACGAAAACGCATGTGTTTAAATTAGGTAATATTGCTACTGCTAATGGTATTTGATTGAGCTGATTGTATCAATATCCCAATGGGTTTAGTGAAATTTGGTAAAGTTTGAATCTTTTATGTTCTTCTTCTTAAATTGCTGGTTTTCTTTTTTGAGTTTTCCAGAGAAGAGTTGGAATCCGGCCATGGGGAGATTAGGGATTCTTTTAGTGATTCATGTAGTGATGAGAGCGAGAGTGATAAGTTGTGGAGATGGGATGCATGTTCGTCAGAGGAAGGAGGATCCGAACAAGATAGCCTTTGGCATCTCAATGATAGATTAGGTTACCTATATTTTCAGTATTTTGAGAGATCAACTCCTTATGGAAGAGTTCCTCTCATGGATAAGGTAATTTTTTTTACTTGTTTATTCTTCGTTTTTAGCCTTTGCTTTGAATTGTTCGGTTTGTTTGGTATTCATATTCCGTGGAATTGATGAGCAAGGAAATTGGGTATCAAGATTGGTTAGAATCATTGGATATCTCTTTTCATGGTAGGGCATCTTTCAAAGATAAAATTGAAGCTTTTTTGACTTTTGAACACTAAGCTGCATAGTTTCTGCTAAACTTATTTTTATAATCTGTGTTGGAAGCTGTAGATTATACTTCTCTTCTTTCGGATTTCTTCGTCTAAATTAATCGGGTTGATACTTTCATTCTATTCACTGATTAATTTCTAATCTTTCACCAGTGTGCCTGCTTACTTCTTTTAACTTTTACAGTTTGTTACAAGAATATTTTGATGTGTTGTTCAAAGTATGGAGTGTTAGATTCTGGCAATGACTTTGACCATTTATTTGTGCTGTAAATTCTCCAAGTGCTTTTGTAGAATAAGGGCTAATAAATTCATGCTTTGCTTTCAGATTAACGAGTTAGCTCGAAGATATCCGGGTTTGATGTCATTGAGGAGCGTAGATCTTTCTCCGGCTAGCTGGATGGCGGTTGCCTGGTCTCTCTTTTTCTCTCACTTAATTTCTGTCTCTCTGTTTTTTCTGTAGAAAAGCACACACATACGGCAAGTAATTGATAATGAGACAAGAAAATATGGGAAAGAAAAGCATGGTTTTCCACAATAATCGTGCTGTTTGAGAATTTTAAAACTTTGGTTAGAAATTGCAATCATCCTTAAATCAAACTAAAAGATTACTAAATATGAAAATTTTTTATCTTAATGGTGTATTCAGGTACCCGATTTATCATATTCCAATGGGGAGGACCATTAAGGATTTGTCCACATGCTTCCTCACTTACCACACCCTTTCGTCTTCTTTTCAAGGTATTCTTTCAATTTTTGTTCCTATTCATTTTGATCTACGTTCGTCTTTATTCATATTCTTTGTCTGTGTGTGTGTGTGTCTACGCGTGGGAGAGTTACAAGGCTTTTTTGGGTGTGTGGGCACAGATATGGACCTTGAAGCTGATGTTGAAGGTGCCGATATGAAGAGAAAGGAAGGGGAAGGCATCTCTCTTCCTCCTTTCGGTTTGGCCACTTACAAGATGCAAGGCAACGTGTGGGTCTCGGGTAATTATGGTCGAGACCAAGAGAAGCTGGTGTCACTTTTGAGTGTTGCAGATTCGTGGCTAAAGCAACTAAAAGTCCAGCACCACGATTTCAACTACTTCACAGGGATTCGGCGTGGCTAAAAACCAACTACTTTTGTTAATATATACTCTTTTTAACCTGTGACGAATGAAAGGGATTATCACTATAGATCCTCTTTTACAAGTTTGTGCTTGGGAGTGATGATGATGAGTACTGAGGATTCTAGTTGATTTTCTTGTTGATGAGCTTCTGTGTAAGCTTCTTTTAGGGCTGACTGATACTGAGTGGTTTTCTTCGGAGGTCGAGTCGTCTTGATTCCCCGTTTTCCGCTGCTGTTTACACAGTTAATGTGATTTTTTTTTTCTTTTTCTTGTGAAGAGATGGTGAGAGAGATAGAACCAAGAAAAAAAAAAAAAAAGAAAAAAGATTCAAACTTTATGTGGATTCTGCGACACATTTTCTTGGCAATATATAAATGGAGAGCCTTCGCACATGAGGAAAATGCTTGATGGTTTTCTCTTTGCTTTTTCTTTCTTTCTTCTTTTTCCCCCCCCCCCCCTTTATGCTGTAAACTGTGGTCCAATCCCTACAAAATCAACATACCCAAAAATCCCCTTTTGTTCTTATCCTCTTATTAGATTAATTTCCATAAAACGGAACAAAAAATTGTAGCACATTCCCAAAAAAAGAAAATTTTATGGTGCTAAGATACGTACAATGTCTCTCAACTCAAATATTTACCAGGTTCATTCGTTTAAAATTTAGTTTACGTGATGAACGTAATGTATCAAAAATATACAATAATAACGTTTACTTTTACTCGAGACGGACCCAAAATACGAAAATATAAACAGGACCACATCTAGAATGACAAAGTTTTATAGCCATGGTGCTCAATATTCCAACGGGGAAATGTGAAAGATTAGGAACACACATTTGACCAAGAAGTGCAAAGCTGAGGCATGAGCATTTTGAGAAGCACTTTGCAAAAGTAGCCACTACCTTTGTTTTTATTTGTTCCCAACTCTAGAATTTTTTTTTAATCGATCAATGATGATCTTAATAATTAGGCATTCTATACAAGCGAGATAAAAGGATAAGGATTACTATATAACATAAATAATAATGATAATAATAATACGAAATTAAAAACTCAGAGTGAATGATTTAATTTATAATTTTAAAAGAATATTTTAATATATCGTAACATTTGAATCTCTATATTAAATTATAACTATAGGGTCAAAGCGTGTATTATTGCTTTGGAGGGGTGTTTAAGCATTGGGATTATGGTTTGATAGCTTAGCTTATAGGTATATGTTTGGAAGAAATTATTTAATTAATAAATTTTGGTGTTTATAAAATTTTAAAGAACACTATTTGGACAATGTGATGTTTACTTTGGATTTGGCCTCACCCAACTCTCAACACTAAAATTGGCATTGATAATTTGTGGATAATAACAAGTTAGGTTAAATTTTTCAAGTTGTCTTTTTTTTTTTGTGTGTCAAATAAATTTTATAAAATTTTTCATGAGTGTAAGATTTTAAGTCACATCAAACTTTTTCATGTAAGGTGAAGAAGAGTTCACAAAATTACCCCAAAATTTAATGTTTCCACCATTTAATTTTTTTACCATTTGAATAAATTAGCATTTAACTTCATATTATTTTGTTCGTATTTAGTAAGTTATTAATGTCTTCAAATTGATTATTGTAATAATTATTTATACTAATTTTTATTATTTCATATGTTAAATCTTTCAGTTTATATATTTTTTTTTTTTATAAAAAATTATGGGTTTGAGTTAAACTGTATTTCTGTACGTGTTATTATTTTATTATATTATGATTAATGCACGTAGATAACTTAATTAATAAATGTATAAGTTTTTTTAAAAATTTAATTATCTGAATGATTAGTACGTTTATTTTATTACAAAAAAAATTATAAATTTAAGTAGAGTTGTGTGCTCCTATATATGTTTCGCTTATTTCATGCTTAGCTTTGTGAACTCAAACAAAAGAAGAAGGTTAATTTGGGGGGATGATGTGTCACAATCTTACTTGAAACTTGACTATATGTAGATGTTGTGGATTAAAACATATACATATGCATATACATATATATATATGTATATTTATTTACATTATATAAGTAAATATATATGTGGGATGAGTGTGAATGGAACAAAAAGGTTTGTTAGGTTTAGTAATTATCAATTTGAAAATGATAGGCCAAATGGTCCACTCAAATCCATCATTATGCACCCAAAAAACCCTAATTTCCAACATTATCTATTCTTTGTCTTTAGACTCTTTGATAGAAATTCATAACTCTCATTGAGTTAAATCTTAGTTAATTTAGGGGAGGGGGTGTTTAGTTACTTAATAAACTACATTTAATTAATAATTTAGAAAAAAAAAAAGTTTAGTATTTTTGATAATTCTAATTA